AAGGTATGTGAATATCCTGGGATAGATTTGTAACTGTATAAATTTCACTGCTTATTCAGATGTATTTTTAACCTACAAAGTCTATTTAATAATTGGTTGTACAATTAAGACAAGAAAAATACTGAGTATTTCTTCCTTGTTTGCATCTTGAGGAAATCAAAGTAAGCATAGTTCCCCAAAGGGGCTTGATACGTCTGTCATCAGTCTCAGCATAAGGTCATATCAAAACAAGATCCAGCCAATTCAAATGGATAGAATTGCAGGATCCAGTTTTAGAAATCTTCTTCTTCCACATCTCTTCTTCAGATGGGAAGGCTAAAATCCTATCTGGTGACCTGTTAAATGTTTTTGGTTTTTACTCCTGCTGGAAAAAAAATCTATTCTACATCTTCCTTTTGAGCCTTTTCTTGTCATTTTACCTCTGGAAGCTGCACGGTATGTATCCCTCATGGTGCTAGTAAATTCTCAGTTTTTCTGTCTCATTAGATTATCACATTGCATTTTGGACAGGCAAGATGTGTGAGTGAAATGAGGTTCCTTGGTCTATTCTGGCATAAGGCAAATTATTGTTCATGATCAGTAGTAGGATCTGAGTGTTTTAGGAAAAAAACAACCTGTCTTACTTCAGTCTCCGAAATATACCTGCATTTTAGAATAGACATGCAACAGGAAATGTCCTGTATTTTGTTCTGTAAATATTTCCTTGGACACAAAGGAAATACCTGTTACTGGTCTCTCATGTGACTGTTTCTATTTGGGGGAGTTTGGGTGTTGATGCTTAGTTTACACCTAATGCCATTTGGAGTTCCATATAGCGTCAGCGATTGCAGTCTGTAACTTGGAATCAGGTACTGCCACCTGCTGATCAAAAACCAATGTGTATATTTTACTTACAGAATACGCTTTTCAATAATACATGTTAAAATCCTTAATATTAAAAATTAAAGAGTAGTTACTGAATATAAATTCCTCAAATATTTTGAGACTACTACTTATTACGCTATTTGCTGGAGATTCTCAGGTGTGTACGTTTGTAAAATGCAATGAGAAGCTGTTATTTCACAACCAAACAAGAGCAGGCCCCTTTCGTACTTACCTTGTTACCCAGATGATCATTTACAATGCTCTTGAGGACTTGTGTCCTTATTTTTCAAATAAACGGGCTACTTTCAGCAAAGCAAGTAACACTTTATTAAACTGATGTGCACAAGCACTGTTGACAGCGGTATTGGAAAAATTAATGATGTGGTATTTTTCTTTTCCCCCCCAAAGGCTTTGGGAGTTTCCAGTCAAAATGACCGATCAACAATAAAGAAAAAAATTAAGGATATTAGAAAAACACAAGAAAAACTGGAAAAGCACAAGGAAAAGGTTCAAAAGAAGGAGAGAGAAGTTCGCAAGACTGGCAGAGTGGTAACCACTCTTGAATCAAGCTGCTAAAATGACCCTGTTTTATTTTAGCACAGACTTGCTTCATCTTGAGGAAGTTCAGCAGATTTGTATATAATTGTACAATTGAGGGAAGAGGGGAAAGTGCAACAGTTTAACATGGTAGGTGGTTTCTTACTTTTTAATTATGGTCCCTCCCCATTACAACCCAATAAAATGAAATAATGTTTTCAGTATTTTACTCCTAGTTGACTGCCTCTCCTAGTAGATGATAATTTAACTTTCTGCCTTAAGTAATATTTGTGCTTCTAAGACCTCATATGCCCTTTTCATTGAAATTTATGTTTGTGAAAAGTAGAATACTATATTAAAAATCATTCCAATACTAGTCAACTAGCATTTGATAAGAGTTGAATCTGACAGAGGGACAATAGAAAAATCCTGCCAACAAATTCCGTCTGTGACAGTCTGTTTATCTGTTGCCGCTAAAGATGTATAGTAAAAATTAAGAAAATGGTAATGTCAAATTAATTTAAAAAGAAAGCATGTATTTCAAATTTATGGATTATTTTGTTTAAATTCTTGTATTTCTGGGATTTTCATTCAAAGTTCACTGTAGTAGCACATTGTTTTTGAGTTCTATGTGTTACAAATTTACTGAGACAATAACAAGAAATACTAAGTAGTTTTCACAAACTATATATACCAAGCATACTTTTCTGCACACTACCCATATGGTGTTGGGACAAGGTTTAAACCTATAAATAAGATCTTTTTTAACCTATTTTCCTAAATAATACATAGTTTTATAGATTTATGCTATGAATAAGATCAATTTGCAATACATGTATTTCTCTTTTCTACCTGCTACAACATTTTTGCGGACCAAATTTATATATTTGCTAATTTTAAACAATACTGTTTTTCAAACTTAAAATACTGAGGGAAGAATTAAGAATTGTAGGAAAAATTATCACTGAAGCACTGGGTTTCTGCATTGTATTTAAATCTTCAATTGTAGACTACAGATGATTTCTTTTTAAAGGAGGATTTGATTCTCAGAATAGTTTAGAGCATTAATTGGTGTTTTGTATATTTACATACTGTTTTCTAGAGATACTACAGCAGCACTTCCTTTAATTAGATGATTCCAGAAACATAGAGTAGTTTAAATATCAATTCCAACATAGAATGGTCTAGAACAAAACTTATATAATTCGTTTATGTGGACCAAGTTCTCCTTTAAATCTGTGGACTGTTTTTCATTTAATTAAATGAATGAACTTCACTGTTGGTGTTTTCACAGTTGTTATTTTTTTGTATAAATGTCTTATGAATTGCAGCAAAAGGACTGTGTGGAAATGCTTCTGCACACTATGCATTTCCAAAATAAACTTTGAAAATCTTGTTAATAATTACTTTTTAAGAAGAGGTTCAATTTTTGGTTTTGTGCATTAAGAGACAATTCTTTGGTCAAGATCTAACCTATTTGTTTCCAGTAGCTGTACTCCAAATGTACAGACCTTGAGCCAGAGAGGAATGCTGCCCTCCTGCTAAAAGAGAAGGGAATTAGAAGTACGGAATGATCAAATGCTTAGGATCGCAAAAGTAAAACCACTCTTCGATTAATTCAGCCAAGGAAGTTTATTCTTCAGTCAAGTGCTTTCAGTTAGAACACAGAACACTGGCACAACCGTGTATTACCTTTTTCCTTTAAGCCTACTAAACTGAATATTGTACCCTGTGAAGAGTTTGTTTCTCAGAAAGGAAACTAGTGGAAATAATGGTTTCAAAGGTTTGCCTGTGTGCAGAGCTGTTGTAGTTAAATAGGGGCCATAGCAGGGATGATAAACTCAGCTGGCACCTGAGCATAAGAACATTGATTATCACAGACCACAGCATCTAACATCTGTCAGATGCTAAATGAGAAGGCTGGCTCCACAGAGCTAGCTTAGTACGAAGCCACAAAATCATACAACAGAAAGTTTAATTTTTAAAATAGTTTTAATGAATAAATGTAGTGATTCTCTCAAAAAATTAAGTTAACACAAACCAAGGTTAATTTTACAGTGCAGGACTGAGCTCATTTGCATACAAAACTATTAATCTCAACATTTTGATAGCTGAGCTAGTATACTAATTTTCTACAGTGATTCACTTCAACTTAACCAGTATGGCTAGCAACGACTTCAGCACAGTAATGAAAATATTAAAAACAAAAATTATCTTCTGAACTTCTGTTTAAATCAAAAGTAATCAAAGACCAAACTTGTAAGTAAGGTTAAACACTGTAAACCAAAATATTACTACATTTGTGTTTTCACCCCAAACATTTGGGGTGGTAGGTGAGGAGATAGATATAATTACATGGCGAGTCCTAGTAATCAGAATTCAACTGCTAATGAGCTGAGAGCATGAGAAAGGTTTTATTTCAGTAATACCATATGAAATACTTTGACTTTATAGAAAACGCTGTTAGCTTTTCTCCAGAAACATCTCTTGTAGTTCTCAGATATTACTAAAATCAGATCAACTAACTTAAACATTTAAAACTTAGCATAAAAGGTAGAATGGTCAGTGTCAGAGTTGAGTTTTTAAAATCCGTGCTGTAACTTCCAGCTTTAGTTTAGCAAAAGCAATAGCTGCAAGCGTTTCCTTTTAACTTTTCTACAGGCCTCATTTTACAATATGTGGAATTTTCACCTACATCCTCCTGCAGGGTTGAAGAAGAGAACAGCTATGGCTTCTCCTCACTTGTAGCCATGCAGATTGAAAGGTATGCCAGTCACCACCTCACATCCTTGTAAAGAAAAATAGGGACCTCTCAAAGTGCCCACACGCTTGAATGAAGCAGGTAACTGTACTGCTCTGGTGGCAGTTCAGCTAGAATAATCCTCCCTCAGTGTGTCAGTTTAGCTGTGTATATAGCCCATTCTGTGATCACTTGTGTTAAAGTGACCTACATTAGCTTGACTGGAGCATAAAACCATTTTATTGTTCTGCAGAACTAGGCTAGGGAGGTGGCAGGTGATCATCATCTGGCTGAGCTACAACTAGAGTAGCGCAACACCAGCTATTCCCTTCGCTTGTGGTATCTCACCTTCTGCTCTGTGCAGAGCTAGTGAACTAGCAAAATTTAGGCTTATTCTTTCTGAGGGGGATTATGCATGTCTACTGCAGAACAAAAATCGCAGAATTACATGCAATAAATTAACTGAGAAAAGGATTAGTTCTCAATGTCTTTAACTGCATCACTCCTAAAACGTTCAGGAATGACAGGGATTGAGGTGCAACACAGATGTATATGATTTGAACAACACTGGCACAAAGAAGTTGAATCCTTTATTAAAAGGACTTTGTACCTGAAATGTAATACTCATTCCCCTCTCAATCTTCCCCAGTATGTTTTGACAGCTTGCCTTTGACTGATAAACACATTCTGCTTACCTTATTTATGTTAGTGTGTGACCTCCAGTTACACACTATATAAATGAGACCAGAAGCACATCATAAATACAAAGGTTTCCAAAACTGTTAATTACACTTATTCTTAAATACTCCTGAGAAGGTAGTTTCTATTGTCAAAGTAATAGAGATGTCCTATTAAAGGCAAATTTTAAAAATCTGTTTATTAGAAGTTTCCATTTACAGTTGTAACCTGACATACCCAAGTCTGAGATGTTACTAGGGCTAGAACATTGATACACTGTGTTTTGGTATTACCTACAGAAATATAAGCAAATGCAAGACAGCGCATCTTTATGGTACACAAGCCAACACTATTTGCTAATTCACAATGATCATGGCAGGATAAGTTTTCCACATGTATTAGATATTCACATTACAACCAAAGAAATATGACTGATACCACATACCTGAGATACATTATACCAGTGGTAGCAGCTAGACCTGGGTTTTTTTTCATCCCGACAAATCTAAGTGTGATTTCTACAGCTGCAAAAAACCTTGATGTAGGCAAGGTGTATGGGCAACATATCTAACTTAGCAAAATTATGCTTCAGCATGCTTAAGATAAAACAATAGAAAGTGCCATACAGATGCAAAGGTATAGCAATGAGCTCCTCAATTTTTCTCATATGAGTTTTTCATTAATCTGTAACATTGTATAACGGAAAAATGCTCTGGTGAGCTTTTTCAATAGCTCTTCTATTAAAACAATTCTGTAATTATATGAATTAATACATTTCTCACCAGATGTGATATAGATTGCATTAGTTCCTATAAAACCTGAAATTACTGCTCCATTGACTTAGCTACTGAAAGTAGTAATAAATAGAAAGTGGAACAAATTAAGTGTGATCTTTTCACTTAAAATTTAAAAGTATGTAGAGGTTTGGGGGTTTTCTTGGGTTTTGTTTTATTGGTTTTGGCGGGTTTTTTATTCCAAAAAAGAATAGTTACATTAAACCTTCTGTTACCCCACTTAAAATTACCTTCACATATCAAATGTGGCTCAGCATCTTGGTGTAAATCAGGTCTTTTCAATTCTCTTTATAGACATACCTACTTCCTAAGAACTGTTGAGGAAAAAGCTATGTACTGCGAAAAGTGGTCATGTCCTTTGGCTCACTGCTTGGCACACACCAATCATCTGCTTCATGGTTTGCTTTATAATGTTTCCAGGCTGCTTTGTTATATACAGGGAGTCTTTCAATTGATTCTGTTGATAAGGCCTGTAAGTAGAGAAGATGGTAGCTGACAATTCTTTTTAATCGAAGTTATACTAACAGAACAAGGAGTTCCATTAGCAGTTAGATTAATGGTAAAGTGTCACATCATACCTTTATGTAAATAACTGCATCTGTACCATAGCCTTCTAAGGAATACAGTTTCAGGTCTCCTTGGAAGTACTGTGCATACAGACGTGATATGGGTAAGCCATAACCAAATCCAGCCTGATTCAGAAGAAAAAAAATGTATTTTAATCAATTGCATCAATCAGTGGTGTTCTGTTTTAACTTAATAGGCAAACAGACAAACTAAGCATTATGTTTGACAGTAAGAGAAGGAGTTCAAGTGTTAACATTTATGCCCCCCAAAACTGTTACACACCCCAGAAACAGAAGAATGTATGGATGACTGTGATTATCAGAAGACTGTTTTATTCCTTTGTCAGACAGGGCTACTAGATAACCCTTGTACTGCGGCAGCTGCTTCAGGAAGAGATGACAGCTTTAGAGAAAACTGTACTGAGTTTGTCTTATGCTTCATGGAGCTGCTAATCTTAACACTGAGAACTTAAGTCAGATACATTTCATCATCAGTATATATAAAAATGGTCCAAGAAGCAATGTCTCTGACTTTGTAGTCTGTACTATAATTCTGTCAAGCCCTGCCTGCAGTATCAGGACATAGACCTGAAGTGTTAAGTATAATTATTTCTATCTACTAAATTTTAGAGATAATCCCTCAATGAAAATACACACTTCTCAGTAAAGATCTAGTGTTTAATGAGCTGCACAGTCATCTAGGTGCAGAACACTAATACATTTTAAAAGCATTTTGAATGATGCAATGTGAGAGAATAAATTCCGCAAAGCTGTTCAGAGCTTCTTACGGAGAGGTAAGGCTTTATTTCTTGTGCACCTAGTTCATACAAGACCAAAGTAGATCCTTCATATGCCCTGTCACATCTGTGTACCTTCATCCTTGCTGGGGGATAGTACAGCTGACTACACAGTACAAATGAAACTATAGACTTGATCCAAAATCATTGCTATAATTATTTTTCCTTTCGTTTAGTGGCCACAAGAATTCAGAGTCCTGTCCTTACTGCAGTACATGCAGCATAGCTAAGTGTTCTGCTTGAGGTAGCTGATCTTTATATTTGGTAGACAAAAACAGAATCTTGAATAAGTTTTAAATAATTTTTAGTATTTTAGGATTTTATGTTTTTTCCAGTTATTTTCAGAAAAATATTTTAATTAAGCTATAACCTTCAAATCGTGATACTCACCATATCTATAAAATCTGTACTTCACAACTTTGGCTAAATGGTTTATTTTGTGACAATTAAACATATTCAAGATTACAAGGTATAAAATATTTGCATACCAAAGGTGTAGCTCGTGACGTCTCAACACGTGGACGTGGTGCTGTTGAATACATGTAGTTGAACAGCCTATCAATCTTCCTCATAGGAACACCTCCACCACGATCACTCATCTGGAACAAGAAGGAACATGTAGCATTATGTCCCCGAATACATTTTTATAAAAGACAGCTTCTCTCAAACAATGATCCAGAAAAAGTTAAGGTAAAACATAATATAAAGTTGTCCCTATTAAATGATGAGTTTTCTTAAATTCTCATCTCTCAGCTGCAGTAATGACCAGAGCGAGACTAAGCCTTCCCTTTCATCCCTTATCCAAACTACTTAAATAAAATACTACCATAAGAAACAGTCATAATCTCTTGGAAGCAAGAAAATCATGTTTAAATTGTGCATAGCTTTTTATCTTGTTCGTAACTAAATTTTGTCTGAAGTCAGTATCTATATCTTTTAGCAAATGCCAGGTTCTGTGTATTTTTATCTTTCTTCCTCAGGAATACTGCCAGTTAAATACAATCTGTTAAAACCTATTACTTGAAGGAGTAAGTCGGAAGAGTTGGTTTACTATGGTTTAGTTAGACCTATGAAAAAGCCAGTGCTTGCAGTTGGTCTTTGAAATCCAACATGGATGTTGTACAGAAAAAGAAGAAATTACTCTGCAAACTCTACTTTGGGGAGTATTTCCCTTTTTTCCGTTGTTTCACACCTGTATAGCTCTGTCATTCTCACATAAAATACTGATACTACAATTGTATAAAGATACTACTTCATTTTTAGTCATGGTTGCTTATAAGCTAGGCAAGACATGAGCGTGACAAAAGCATAGAATTCTATTGCAGAGCCTTCAGTGTGACTGTGCAACCTCTTCCTTAATTTCCTACTGATGCAGTATATGAAATTCCATAATGGTCTTGTTACTTACATACTACATTATCGCATACAATCTATTGTTGGAACCAGATCACCAGCTGAAGTCGGTAATATGCTGCCTATGACAGGGGAAGAAACCTAATCAAAATAATCAAAAAAGTGGGTACCTTCACAGTTAAATCCTCATTTCCCAACGTGACGTGTACATGAATTGGAGGATAAATGCATCGATCAGCATTATGTTCCATGGTGGCTCTCATTGCATTCTGCAATTTTCAAGTACAACTTAAATCCTGTTCTTACCACTTGTATATTATCTTCAAACATAAATGTACGAAAGTTATTTTTATCACGTATTTCAGAATCAAGACAAATGTATACAGTTTTAGAATAGGTTTGTTTAGTATTTCTGGTTTATTCAGTATTTATATAGTTTATTAGCATACACAGACTTCAAAAATTTTATTTTTTTAGAACATCTGAATATTTTAATGTACAGTTTTATTGGTAAATTCTTTATAATGCATAGTACATGCAATATGACATGAAGATCAAGGAAAGTCTAAGACTGAACTGCTTGAGGAAAGCTCTGTAGGACCTGTTACACATCATACCAGATTTGAAGATGTCCGAAAAACTGTGTATCTTATTCTCACTTGCTTTATTAATTAATGTCTTCATATATTTTAAGGTTTTTTTGACAAAGCTGTCTACTCAGAAGGTGTCAGATGTATTCAGTGTCTAGGCAAACATCTTCCAAAGCTGTTCATTTTCTAGGCAGTTACTGTTTGTCTAAATAGTACAATTTAGGTATCTTCCTGCAGTCAAATAGCAAGAGGTTTGCACTTGCAAAAACACACTGCTATCTAGAATTGGTTCAAAAAGTCAAACAAATCCAATATCACTAAACAAAGATGTATAAAAGAATTGTGTAATAGTAAGTACACAGACCTTGAAAAGTTCGAAAACCATGTGATAGAGATGTGATGGCACATACACCACTTGCATGGGCTGTCCTGGCGATTTAACTGGAGAAAAGAGAGTCTAAATAATTAAATAGCAAACTAGGTATCTTTTATTCGTTCCCACAGTCATTCAAAATGTACATTTGTATTGTTGAGAGAAATTACAATAGAAGGCAAATTTGAAGAGAAATATTTTGAAGAAGTTCTATGTTAATCAAAAGTCATACTCAAGATTTTCAAATGTGCTTGTGGCTTTAGAAATTAATCTTAAAACCCACTGTGGCATCACTGATTAGGGCATATAATAGTTGCCTTCTAATACCTAAGAAGAAGTTATCACGAAGATAGAGTCTGGCTCTTCAGGTGGTGGGAGAACATGAAAGAGTGAGTAGAAGATGAAATAACAGAGGTTCAGACTGGATATAGAGAAAAACTTTTTTACCATGACAGTTAAGTATTGAACCAGGTTGCCCTGAGATGTTCTGTAGTCACCATCCTTGGAGGATTTTTAAGACCAAACTCGATAAAGCCCTGAGCAACCTGGTCTGACCTCACAGCTGTCCCTGCTTTGAGCAGGAGGTCAGGTGAGAAACCTGCTGAGGTCCCTCCCAACCTGAATTATCTTATGATCCTATAATGCACCAAATAGTAACTACAGCACAGCCTGTTCTTGGATTCATTTAGGAACTAGCTGACTTCTAACAAGAAACCTTAACAAAAATTACATAGACAGTTCTGTCTCTACAACTGGTAATAGTTCAAACTTTTTTAAAAAAATAAATTGTAGAAAATACATCATGGGAACCCATTCATTGTATCAAAAATTAAGGAAAGGTTCCTCAGAGAATTCTGCTGGCTCTTAAGGTACTTTGAACAAATTAAGTCTGGTGAGAAATTATTAGTGACCAGTATTTTATGAACATAAATGTTGAAGACTAATGATGTCAAAAGATCTAGAACAAATTATGTACCCAGCAAAAATAAGGCGGGGCGGGGGGGGGAATAATCACACTTTGAAAAATGTCAGGTTCCTGTCCTCAAGTTAACCGCTTCCCTCCATGCCTCTACCCCCAGATGCCATGCCTAAGGTTTAAATAATGGTCTCCACTCCCAGCTGTGGGCAAGGAATGTGCATTTGGCCTGGATCAGGTTTAACTCACCTTCACAATTCATTGAGCAAAAGGTCACTTCTTTTATAAAAACTGAACTGTTTGTTCTGGCTTCTGGAGTATGTACACCATTAAATGACCCCTCAGTACAGAGAATCAGCTAGTGTGACAGACAGTTTCCTACAAATGTTTTTAGTATCGTGCTCCAAAACTTGAGAGAGGTAAAACCCTTTAACGTAGACAGAGCGCGACAGGTTTTGTGCAGTAGGAAGAAAAGATTGGAATGTGTGGTCAAGGCTGCACTTTCTTTGCCTTTAGCTTCATAGGCCAAGTTACTCTGGTTGCACTTTGGCTTTCACAATCACTTATAGAAGCAATTTTGATTGCTTGGTTTTGTAGGTCTGTCTGAACTTGGCATTTAGTATCCTGAAAAGTACTCTAGTGTCAGAAAGGCTCTTTAGCATTTTTTTTTTAGCATCCAGCAGGACTATGAGAATAGCTCACCTCTGAGTTCATAGCAACACAGTTGTTAACTGTTTTTTCACATCACAGCTAACGGATTCAAATAATTTTACCACAACTTAAGTATGCTGTATCTAATTACAACTACAAGAACAGGATAGCTGAATACGCAAGAAAAATTAGAATGGAATTTTTAGTATAAATCTTAAAAGTGTCACAAGAGCTGCAGAGAGGGTGAGATGCAATAGACAGTGTAAGCTGAAGACATGCAAGAAACCTTAGGGAGGGAAGGAGGCTGCTAAAATCTGTTATAGCAAGAGCTGTAGTGTCAAAAACTTTTCTACTGATTTCATTTTTCAAAAAAAAAAACAACACCCAAACTTTCTTACGGTAGTGTCAAAAACTTTTCTACTGATTTCAGTTTAAAAAAAAAAAAAAAAACACCCAAACTTTCTTACAGTAGATATAGAGAAGACATTAACAATATGAAAAGTAGCACATTTCACCACCAGCTACTTTAGAAGAAGCCATCACTATGTTCAAAAGAGTGCCTTGCCCCATATTCACTTACCATTCAACTCTTTAAGGATGAGTTCCGGAGAGCTCATGTAATACAAATCACAAAGTGTCTTGGCACTTTCATAGCCATCTATAATAAAAACACAGAAAGTTATATTTCCCCCTCCACTTTTTTCTTCTCCTTTACAGTTTGACAAAAACAGAAATGGAAAACACTGTGCACTGTCAGGGAGATTTTGTATTTTCTCACAAAAACTGGGTTTATAGGGAAAAGTGATAAAACTGTATTACACTTTAAATGACAAAAACAGAAATGGAAAACACTGTGCACTGTCAGGGAGATTTTGTATTTTCTCACAAAAACTGGTGTTTTTTTCACTTTAAATGAAATTTGTGCTTCAGGTAGGAAAGAACTAAACAGTATTATGAGTATCAAGATGTGTACTGTCTCTCAGTAGAGACATTAATGTAAGTTTTCAGGATTCTTGTTCTTATCTGCTGAATTTACCTCTAATAACTCCAACAACATTGCAGCTAGGATCAATGCTTCCGATGTGTTTGGGATGAGCTGGATTAATCTTCCCACCAAACAGTAAAGCTGCCAAAAAATAAAATATTATTTAATACCCAATATAATTTTATAATTTTAGTTAGTGTCTTCAGTTTCGCTAAATAGAAATTTACAGGCAATCTTTAATTCCAGTCTTCATCCTTGAAAGCCTACCAAGTATTTTAAGAATTGTATTAAGTTTATAAATAGCAAGGCAAATAGCGTACTCCTAAGAAGCATTTAAGTACATATTAAGCACTTAAAGATGAAAGGGAAATAAACTGACAACAGTACAGGTATCATTTCCCCTCCTTTCAACAACAGCACTTACAGTGTTGATTAAGGAGCATTCTAATTGAAATGCGGCTCATGTAGAAACGGTCTAAAAAATACTGCACATTCTGTGACGTCACTGGATCAATGCCAAAGCTTTCCTTGTACTCTATTACTCCTTGAGCCATCGTAGGAATTACATCATTGTGTCGATTCCGGATTTTTATCACAGTATCTGTAAAACTAAAATTAATACACTGTTAGTATTACACTTTCAAGTGAATTTAATACTCTGGCAAACAGACCATCTTCCTACAAAAATGAAGACCATTAGGTACAGAATATCACAGGTCTGCCCACGGCAATAAGAAGACAGGTCCGTCTTTACAGCATATTTCAAGCGACTAGCACTGAAACAATCAGTAATTAACCATTATTGATTATCTATAAAATGATTTTTTATTTATTATCTTGATTACTGCCAAGAAGAGAAAACTGTGCCATTCATTTAGATGCAGATCATCTCATGCCTGTCAAATGGCAGTTACAGTCAGCTAACGATGACCAAACCTACTCTACAGGTGAAAAGTTCTGTACATCAGTTCCAACATTACAAGTAAGGAAGTGGTAAACATTTGGTCAAGTTTAACATATTCATAGCTTCTTCAGTGTAAAAGCAAAGCATTGACCAGAATGATACGGCATAAAAGTGCTTTGTCTCGTGTTTTGATGTTTTAGGGACAGGGGGTGACGTTACTGCAACTCTTATGTGAAGATTGGAGATAGCTGAAATTTTTCGTAAGCTATTGTTTTCTTGCCAGTCCTCCTAAATAATATTAAGGCAATATTAACACACGTGACAGCAAATCCTTACCTATGAATAGTCCCTGAATCTTCTGAGCTTTTGTCCTTAAAGTCAAGGATCTCCTGAAGACTTTGGACATACCTTTAAACAAAAGAAACATGACAAAGACCAATTGTAATAAGCCTCCCCAGATCCCTTTGGTTAGCAATTTATGGTCTTCCAAGGTTGCTTGTTTACAAATTGTTGCAATTGATATAACCCATTGACCTATATCCCCTGTGAATTTTATTAGATCCTTTTGAAGCTATTCATTATGTTTTCTTCCAAACATTTCCAGAAAAATGAATTCCACAATTTAATTAGAATGAATAAAAGATCTTCCTTGTGTTTTAAACCCAGTAGGTGATCACTTATTTGAAGCCCCAGTGAGTTCCTGTTATTAGAAAATCTTCCCAGCTTCTTCATGATTTAAGTATTTCTGCCATCTCTTTCCTTAGATTTGTATTTTCCAAGCTGAAGAATTCTATTTGGTTTCTCCTCACGTAGAAATTGTTCCAACCCTCTGATTATCCCTCTTGGTCTGTTCTGTTCAGGATGGAGTGACTAAAACTGCATGCAATTCAGAGGAATAATGGGCTAACACAGTGGTAGTATTATATTCCTCCCCATTTGTTACTTAGTTCCTATTTGCCTTCTTGTCCATCAACTTACATATTCAGAAAAATATCCCCGGTAGCATCAAAACTTCTTTTTCCACTGTAAGCAAGCAAGCATACAGGGACAGGAGGTTCCTCTCTGTGCTCTATTTTGCATTTGTCCAAGTGGAATTCAGTTCCCATTTGATCAATATTATTTAGTGTCATGAGAATTTAAGCATTTGTGTTCCATTAAGAGCCTCCATCTTCATTGATAGCTCTTTTTATATTCAGTCATCTAATCAATCTCACTTATTCACTGGCAGATTTTCTGTTTTCTTAACTGTAAAAGCCTTTCCAGATAGCCATGTGCCTTTAGTAGCTGCCAAGCAATCTCTTTGTTTTGTTTTCATTTTACAAAAGTTTATGCTCATGTGTAAGTTCCTTACTTGAAAGGAAATCTTACTTTTCAAATTATGTCTTTTTTGTTTTACACATTTTGGCTTTAGAAGCTTCCTATTGCTCTTTACTTATGTATTTTCTACACCTTTACTCTCAATCTGCAGTAACCTGTCTTTTAAATGGTTTCTACTATCTTTTGCAAGTATTTTGTGCATTAGCCTGCTTATGTTGTTTTCTTCAAGTTACTTCTTCATTTTAGGTAAGTCCTCTATTAAACATTGTTCTAGTGGATTTTTGGTTTTACTCAATTCTCATACATTACTATCTGCAATAGCTAGTGATTTTTAATTCCCTTGTGGGTTCTGTAATTGCTCCTAAGGGGTTTTTTCCAAGTCTATACATTTAGTTTCTGATCTGTGTCACATTGGGATATTTACTCAGTCTAAATAGGTGATGTTCATGTAATGAGCACATTAAATGTTCTTTCTACAGAAGATAATTAGTTCCTCCAACTTGTGTATATGCAGAAGGTCACCCTTAAAGATACGAAACGGCTCTGTTCTTACCAGCTCTGCACCAGCTGAACTGAAGGTGTTCTCAGGAGGTTGTCTGGAAGCAGGCTTATTTCCTTCATGATGTTTGCCAATCTCACAGGCAACTCTTGTCGCAGAAACATAAATGAAGTCTTTTCACAAGCATTTTCAGATCCTAAGACCAAAATAAATATATGACATCATCAGAATAAAGTCAGTGCTTATGGTAGAGAACTACACAAACTCTACTTTCTTGCATAAGAGGTCTGTGGTTTGGTTTTAAAGCTGACTCAGGCAGTCTGGTAAGCCAATGTTTCTTTCATGACAGCGGCCCATTTATATTTTAAAATGTAAACTCATATTGAAACCTACCAGCCCTGTTGCGGTAACGAGATTCTTCAAAACATAAAGAGTAACTACTGCAGTAGTTGCAGACCCATACTATTTAACTTGAAATATCACTTCTATCCATGTAGATATTTTATTTGCAGCAGACATTGACTGTAACTAGCACTGATCAAACAGTGTGTCATTCTGAGCATGTCAGAGAGGCAAGTGAAAACAGCACACGAAACTATATTTACGGGAAGGATGCCTGAGAAAATATCATGGTCCCATACAATCTGCTTCATCACTGATCTTACGGATTACCATAACTCATATTGGAACACTTTCTGAAAAAAAATTCAGTAATATTTATCTCATTTTCACCTACATCTGTTGTAGTTTAAATTCACTGTCTTATAGGAACAGAAGACACATGAATGAATTCACATGAATGCTGACAGAGAAATGAAAGGGCAGCTACTGTGCTTAATCATTACAATAGTAGTTCTCCCATATGTTTACTTTTTAATTTTTTTACATTTTTAAAAGCTAGAAGCTAAATTACTGCACCTGTTGATAACTGACCTGTCCTTTTTGTAAGCACAGGCATCATCTGTGTGGGTGGCAACTAAATGTGGTTATAAAGATCAAGACCTAAATTTACTCCCCCAATGCTTGTTTTAGTAGGTGAGAAAGGAGAGTGTGGGGTGGGGAAGAGGCTAAGAAGTGCTGCACTTTATTCTCAGACAGACTTCTTTCTAGACTTCAAGAGTGTCATGTAAACAGCTTTTGAACTTACCAACCTGTTCCTCTGCTGCAGTGAAGTGCATGCCTCAGGCTTAGTGTGTCACACAAGAGGTAACTCCTAACCTAGCAATTAACTCTGGTGTTTCTGCTCAGTTCACTCCTTCCATCTGGCAAGACGGAGTTGGGGAAGAAGATTAAAGGAAGGGATGTGGAGAAAGAGGAAGCTGGGAGTGTCTTAAACAGGAAAAATCTTCACCAAATTGAAATGGAGTAGTTTAGTTTAATGCATCCAGACTCAGATACATGATAAACTACACTGATAAGACAATGTCAGTTAACTTAATAAAAAGTGAACAGCTTACAAGAAATTCCTCCCTAGTGACACTTAACAGTCTACATATGACCTCTGCCCAGAAACCTTTCATTCTTCTCATCAGTCAGATTGTTTCAGGCATGACTGTTACTGGCTTTTCCCTTTTCTCAGGTAAAATTCCATTAACAAGTCTGACAGAAGGTATTAGAATGTAAAGAGTATCTTAAAATGTCTCATATACTCAGCAAATGACATTCCACAAATTAGTTTTGTATCTGGAGGCTGTATCTTCGCAATCCTGGGTCAAATATGGAAGACAGCTTAGGGTAAGGAAGACTTCGGTGAATGGGCAAATGGCTGTTTCCCTGTGCAACCATGGTCTATCTAGGGAAAGAATACGTAAGACTCCTACAGAAAATATTGTGTGCTTATAACCCAAGATATGACTGATGTATGATCCAGACTTAAACTTGCTTATGGAATATTTCATTTGCTAGATTGAAACCTGGAGGAACTGGAAGCAGACTTTTTTAATTTTTTAAAGTTAGCATTACCAATGGTACTATTTCCCTTCCACTGCTCTCGTTCTAGTGAAAGGAGACAAAAAAATCCTCAATGAAAACAGCATCAGATTATAATGGCTACAGAATGTCTTACAAATACTGTCTCAATGTTGCACTCTACTCTTTTTTTGCCTTTGATATTAGTTTTTAGTATCTGTTATTAAATCCTAAAGCAAAAAGGCAGAAATTTTCTTTTAAAAAAAAAGCTTTCAAGATTACCTTATGTTCAGGTACTAACAGCAAAAAAGTGTTTGACATTAGGAAATGCTGTGCCTTGAAAATAAACACTGATTTTAAGGTAAGCATTATTTTATTGGTATTTTAGTGGTAAAACAATACAGGTCAAGTGAGCTCTGAATTGCAAGATTCTTTACTTACAAATATGGTAGCAACAGAATATACAGTGGGGTTCCCATACAAATCTAGAGTTTTATATTGGATATATTTTATTGCAATGTATGCAATATTGAATAGAGGGATGAAACAACAGTGGATAGGTAAGACAAACTTTTCTTTGTAAGTCTTCCTACTTATACAAAGTCTGGGGTTCTGGGATTAGTTCTGTTATGTTTTATTTATAAAAATGTAAAAAGCAATACAACTATTAACTAGTTAAATGTTTGTATACGTCGTTTATGTAAATATTTATGCACCTGAGAGTGTCTTGGGTGCAGAAACAGAACGTATTATATTGTATGGCTCCATCCCCAGGCTTTGAAAAGGTTTATCGGTGTGACTTACAAGACCTTTCTCTGTGTCACCTTTGCTTTGCAGCAGTCAGTCAAACCCGGGAGCGTTACGAGTGGTTTTACTGCGGAGGCTGAATATCCCGTTACCCATTTACTCATTGCCGGGGCTAGACTGCCAGGGCTCCAGGAGGGCTCCTGATGCTTGCGTCCTACTCCTTCTCTCACACATCTTCTAAACACCAACCTTCGGGTCAGGTGCGTTTGTAGGGCACACACATGTGACCGAGAAGAGGCGAGGGCTGTTTCAGCTGCTCGGCGCCAGCTGAGGTGAAGTGTTTCTTGTGTTTGGGACCTTAAAAGGGGCTGCACGCTGCTGGCTTGCCAGAGCAGCAAGTCTCACTGTTCAGAGTCCCTGCTCTAACAGCACCCACTGCCTTACCTGGCCCCAGCCTCTCGCCAGCACCGCAGGTTTCGCAGAGAAAAACCCCGCTACTTTTGTGATGCCAAAAACTGGAGTTTTCATCTGATTTTTCAACCTTGCCACGGTTCCAGTCCCCGGGGAAGGAGCCAGCTGGGCTCCCTTCTCCTGGAAGGACGCAAAGCCTTTCTCGGCCAAAGAGGACGGCACCGAGCGCTGATAAGCAACAGCTGGGGAACGCGGCCGCGCCTGCACGG